GAGATGAGGTGAGCTGAGGAGGCAGGGTCCCCAGTTTCCCCATTTTCAGCTGTGCGATCTTGGGTAAGTAAACTTATGGATTGATGCTTTGGTTTTCCTACCTGGACGTTGTTTAGCAGATGACGAAAATGGGCCTTAGACAAGTGAGCTATGATGGAAATTTGCCCCTCCCTGTGCAATGGCACATGGCACAAAGAGGAATTGCTGACAGTGAAGGATTGAAAAGATTGATGAGCCGACTCTAGTCCAGTGGTTCCCAACCCCCAGGGTCAAATGACCCTTTCACAGGAGTCAGCTAAGACCATTGAGAATAACAGATATTTACATTATGGTCGAGCTGGAACAGGGATGGAGTGGGAGAGCAATGAAAGAGATACCGTGATAGAGGGAGACATCATGGGGATAGGGATAAACTGGGTGCTAGGGAAGTTTCCAGGAACCCACAAGAATGACCCCAGCTTAGACTACTAGCAATAGTGGAGAGGGTGCCTGAGCTGGCTTACCCCAGTAATCAGATAGGTGAATACCCTAGCTGTCATCATAGAACCTTCATTCAGTAACTGATGGAAGCAGATGCAGAGATCCACATTCAAGCACCAGGTCAAGCTCTGGGAGTCCAGTCGAAGAGAGGGAAGAGGGATTCTATGAGCAAGGGCCATCAAGATCATGGTGGGGAAACCTACAGAGACAACCAAATCAAACTAGTGGGTACTCAAGAAATTTAGACCAACATCTGTAGAGTCCTCCACAGGACTGGACTAGGCCCTCTTCATAAGTGAGATAGCTGTGTAGCTTGATCTGTTCAAGGGCCCCCCTGGCAGTAGGATCAGGATTCATCCCTGGTGCATGAGCTGGCTTTTTGGATCCCAGTACCTGTGGTGGGACACCTTGCACAGCCTTGAGGCAGCAGGAAGGGCTTGGACCTACCTCTACTGAATGTACTAGGCTCTGCTGAGTCCCCATGGGAGGCATTACCTTCTAGTAGGAGGGAATGGGGGGTGAGTGGGGAGGAGGAAAGAAAGGGATCTGTGATTGGTATGTAAAATAAATAAAAAATTTCTTAATAAAAAAAAGAAGTAGCAATGAAAATAATTCTGTAGTTGGGAGTCACCATAACATGAGAAAGTGTATTAAAGGGTCACGGTATTAGGAAGGTTGAGAACCACTGCTCTCGACTAGCCACAAGAAGTTAGATTTTACCCTGATAATACCTTTATTAATTAAAGGTATTTAATCCTAATACCTTTATCCTCATACATTCCAGTAATCTTGTTTTCTTTTAAAATCTTTAAACGGTTTTGAGAACTTCATATAGAAATGGAAAACTAGTTCCCCCCCCCCCCCCCAGGAATGTTTGTAATTTTGAGAATTTCCAGTTGGACCTCTTTTCCTGATGTTCTTTGGGGAATAAAAGAATACTTAAATCTACTCTTAAATGTCACGGTTCTCTGTCCTAGTTACTCTCATGTAACGTTAGCACACGCACATTTACTTCTCTCTTGTCTTTGAAGTTAGACCCAGCCTCTTGCTATCCACACACTTCCATCCTGTTCAGCCCTGCTATTCCCGATCTCTGACTTGGCTCCAGCGGTTTCTCCTTTGGAAGTTTCAGCTCCCCAGGTCAACCTCAGTCACTTTTTAAAAGGCAACCTCAACACCAAGCATCTTGAAAGAAAAAGTCTTTCCTTCCCAAGACTCATGCTCTGTGGATAAGCTTTCACACCATAAACCTTGGGCACATATGGGACTGTGGAGTCATAAATGCAACTCTATTTCTACTTTGGGAAACAGGCTTCTGCTGTGTAGCTGAGGCTAGCCTCATGAACCTATAATCCTCCTGTCTCTGATTTGCAAATGCTGAGCTTACAAGTGTGTGCTACCACACTTAGGTTCATAAACCCAGTTTTTGACGACTGCTTTTCTTTTCATTTGAGCTATACATCAATGATGTCTTTCTTGTGAGCACTTTCACTTCTAGATGCCTCGATTTCTAAAATAAGTGACCCTATGGTATCTATAAGACAACGCATGCTCATTAGATGAATATATTATTGTAAAGAATACCTCATATTACAACCTCCCCAATGATATGCCAGCAGCATTATAAAGAAGTTCTATAAATCTTTAAACATTAGTTATTTGTTCTTGGCAACCGAGTTGGGAGTGAACGAAGATGGAAGGAGGTGGTTAGTGTTTACTTAGTTCATATGGACAAGTACATGAACAACATCCCTTCACTTGAAATGCTTTTAACGTTGAATTTCAATTACAAAATATAGGTGAAGACTTAGAAGAATTTAGAACATAGAGTAAATCCCTGCATATTTGAGAATGAGGGAGAAGAGAGAACAGCCATTTATTCAACTCTTCAATGTTCTGGTTGTCCTGGGCCTAATGACGTCATTATATTTCATTAAATATTTTCAACATCTCTCCACAAGGGAACTAATCATGACAATGCTTATTTTATAGTCTTACTACCTTGGCTCAGATCAGATCTTACATTCCACTGAGGAATCTGGGCTTCCAATCCAGCTGTTTCTGACCTTGACATAACAGTGCTTTGAGAAGCTGAATAGACTTAATTGCTAGAAAGCAGTACTACAAATTAAGTTAAATAAATGAATTATTTTTGGGTGGGGGATAACTTAACCTTTCTTGGTCTTAGTTCCTCATTCTAACAAATTTGTCCTAGATAATATCTACAGATCGTTGTTCTTATGTATTTGCAAAAAAGTAATTTTTTTTAAAAATATACTTAATAGTCCTTTGGCACAGGTAGATACAAGTGCTTTGTTATTAAGGGATGTTACATGAAGAATTATACTATGGTGGAACTATAATTAGGAGCACAAGAATAATCAATGTTTTGTTGATATGTTTTTGTGTTCTTTAAGATGTTAACATGGGTACCTTTTAAATTTTTTGTTTATTTTTATGTGTGTTTGACCTGCATGTATATCTGTGTATCACATGCATGTCTGGTACCTGAAGAGGCCAGAAGAAGGTTTTAAGATGCCATTTGGGTGCTAAGAACCAAACTCAGGTCCTCTGGAAGGGCAGACAGTGCTCCTAACCACTGAAGAATCTCTTTAGTTCTCAAAGTTACATTTTTGTTTAAGTAACTCTATTAAGTGGAGGGAAAAAAACTACAGCATTCTAAGGGTAAGCTGAATAAATTCATAAGCCAGACTAACTATTCTTGTATATATTAAGTGCTGATTGCCAAATTTTATCAATCAAAAACTATATCTCCTGTGATTTTGGGTTTGGGCTAGATATTCTTTCTAGAAAAGTCTACTCTAACTATATGTGCACATTAGAAGTGATTGTCACTGACTTTGTTCATAATATTTTGTTCATAATATGTTGAATACTATATTTACTTTCACTACCTGAAAATAAAACAGGGTAATGACAAAGTGTATACAATATTTTAATTACCATTGTCATTAGTAATTAGTAATTAACTAATTATCTGACTATTATTTGTTGTTAGGGTAGCTTTCCTAAACTCTCTAGCTTTTACTTCTTATATTTCACAACAAAATTTTACAATACATGAGAGAGAAAAGTCTAGAATAACACTTACATCAAACAAAGTTGATATAATCATTAAAACCTTTTTTCAGTTGAGGCAGATCAAGCCCCTCCCCCTGCATCAAGGCTGGGCAAGGAGTCCGACCATAGGTAATGGGCTCCAGAAAGTCAGCTCATGCACCAGGATCCTGATCCCATTGCCTTTTCTGACTCCCCATAGGAGGCCTTACCATTTTGGAGGAGGAGATGGGGGGTGGGTCAGGAGGTGGGGAGGCTGGGGTTGGGGAGCAAAAGGAGGGATAAGAGGGGAATCTGCAGCTGGTATGTAAAATGAATAAAAAAATTTAATTAACAAAAAAAACCCTTTTTTTCTTATAGCCCAAAGAACGTAGTGAAAATGTCAGACATTCCTTTATAAAGTAGAGCAAGTTTGAACTCGTGACCCAGAATGGACTGAATACAATAAAACAGTCATATACCAAAGGCCCTAATGGTGATCAGTTCAAATCTCTCTGCCACGTGCTGACTTCTGGCACCATTTTATTTTGTAGAGAGAGAAGTTAGTTCAGGTCTAAAAACTGAACATTCCTTTTTTTCAAAAATAAACAAGCACACTTAAGGCCAGCTGTAACTTCTTTTACCTATAATGCTATGTGGTCCATGTCACAGAACTTTGATAAAATTAGAACCTTTAATATTAAGCTTTCCACATGAAAGACAGTCCAACACACAAACTGTCACTACAGTTAACTAGGATATTCTTGATGTATTAATTCATGCCCCCAGGACTCTTATGTGGCTTGTAGGACATTCCAATTAAAATTAGCCATCAGAGAAAAGAGAACGCAAGAATAAATAAGAACAAATTCCATGTTGTTAAAAATGAGACACAAAGATGAAAGGAAAACTACTATGTCATTGAAAAGTTAACTTCTCTTTTTAAAAGTTATGATAAAAATTCAGTTCTCTAGGAAGTCTTGATGAGCAGAGAACTGAGCCAGAGCAGAGCCATGCTCTATAACAAGTAGGCCCAATGCATTTTCTTAATGTAGGGATCACAGCTCTGAGTGCTTCTCTATAGCATATACATTTCTACACAGTGAGCAAATTTGTCCAGGCCATTGGTAAATGGCTCTGAATACAGACTAAGAAGCCAGAAAACTAATAGAATATGAAAATTAATTGAACAGGCACATCGTCCAGGCAATCTCCCTCCAAGAACATATTTTGTAAAAACACAGAAGGAATGTTTCAAGGGTTAAAAATGAAAAGATATTGAACATGAACTGAAGACATCTGATTAGAGAGATTACTATGAGATACCGAGTGACGAATTAACTGGTTCTCTGCCAACCATGGTGCTACTCCTGCTACCTAGAGTCATGTTATTGTATGTTTTCCAGCTTTGCTTTTAATGCAGTAAAAATTAGAATTCAATAAATATGGAGGGTAACTCATACCTTAAATTCCTCCAAGATTTTGTAATTTTTTCCATGATATTCACAAAAGTTTTTCACTTCTTTACATTCGGGACAGCATCCATTGTGTTCCACTTTTGTACATTTCGGATGAATTTTAGGGCATTCTGGCTGGTCACAAACAGGTCCATCTAGAGCACAGACACATGGACAGTTGGAATGTCCTGGGAAAAACCGTTCTCCCAACTTGTATACAAAGCCGCTGTCATCCACACACCCTTTCCCTCGATAGTCATCAAAGATCAGATTGTCATTACTGGAAGCCTGGTCACCTTCATCAGCAGGATAGTCTTCGTGACTGATGGCGGCAGAGGTGACCAATCCAGGGATGACCAATAGAAGTATGCAAGCTTCATGAATATGAAGAGCCATGCCCCTCCTCACAGACTTCTGGATGCTCTCCTAATATTAAATAGACTCAGCTCCTTCCATGGGAATGCAAGAGGGGTGGGCTGAAAATAAATATTTAAAAAATAATTTGACATATATAAAGAGAATAAAGATGCATTTAAGCCCATGCTCTTAAATTGTTTGTATGGCTTCAATTTAGAAGACACTGAGACTTCAAATCAACAATGTTCATTCAACTGTCTCTACTTTATTCCAAAGTTTGAACTGTGAACTTTGGTAAGATGTGTTTTAATAAAGGTCATTGATGGAGTTATTTTATTTAGGGGCCTTCAGCTTGTAATTTTCCTTTGAATTTCAATGGTCTGGCTCTTTGCACATTGTCAGAAGCGCTTTTATTGAAGCTTAAAAAGCGATTGCAAGTGGTTATTGATACATAGTTCAAGGATATTTGAAACCACATCCATGCTTTTCTTTGAACTAGATGAGTCAGTAATAGAATGTAGATTTTATAATAATCTGAACAAAAATGAGATTAAGGTGAGGCATTAAATTCTAAAAGCAAGGGAATTTAAAAATACAAAACAGTTGGATTCAAATTTAAATGAGATGGATACAGTATAAAGGCTTTCTTTCTCACGCCCATACTCTGGATTTTGGAACACACTGAATATGAAAAATAGTATAAAATATCATGGTGAATAAGAGACTACATATATAAAATAAATGCTACAAGAAAATTTAATTTATGGAAATGGACTTGTTAAAAGCAGAGCCATTTATATTATTGTCCACATCTTTAGTTTTATGTGGGAGATAAGCTCCTAGTGGGCAGGAAAGATATATCTATAAATTTTTATAGCAGCTAAGATCTAATGGTCATGTGATGTTATTTCAAGTTGATTCCTTCCATATAATATGAATACCATTCACATTTTATTGAAAATATAACTCATTGGAAATGACCAAAATATTTGCATTAAGGTAATTTGGGCAAAGATGCCAGAAAAAAAACTTTCTGTGAAAGTTTCTTGAAATAACAATGAAGTATTGATATTTTCAGACTACATACCTTATTAACTGAGTAGCAATAACTGTTATAGACTCCAGGGTGTTAGTATTTGGTATTAAGTGTTGTGCTGAGATCTCCTTTGAATATTTAGAGTAGCTAACTTATGTAAAGCTTCTGAAGAAACTATAATTTCTGGGAGTAATAGAGAAGGAAAATTATTCTAAAATATTTCATTTATCTATTTAAATGCTATTGGCTTCATGCCAATATCACTAAGATTGTTGTAGGACATTTTAAGATATCTAAGTTTCATTCATTGTTTTATTTCCAAACTACATTAAAAAAACGGTGATAAACTATTTCTTTTCAGGCTAGCATATAATTATGATCATTTAAAATATGATGAAGATGATGTTAGGAAACTTCATAAACTCTTAGAATATATTTGCATTTAAAGTTAGATATGCAAATTCTAGTAATAAAATGGAAGGCAATGTATTCACATTCTCTTTTCAGAGAAGGTTGATATTAGTATTCTTTCAATATTCTCTGATATTAGAATTCCTTTTGGGTGAATTCTTTTTGGGTAATGATAAAGGAGATGGATTTCTCTTAAAATATGTCAAAAATAATGAGTCATGACAGAACAAGAAAATGCAAACCTATAATTCTTCTTGAGAAGCTGGAAGCTCCCTTTGACAAAGCATTTCTTTTTGTCTAAATTACTACAGGGGCCATAAACATAGTAGAAGCTTCTGGAAAGGCATAAATATGTTTTACTAATTAAAGCATACATTTATGCACCTCTCACATATGTAGAAAGTTTATCTTGCAAGACAAGGAAGCTATCGTGCCTCCTTACAGTATTCAGCAGTGTCTCTCAATCCATGCAAGAAAAACCATGTGAAATGCACACGGGATTCTGCTTTAAAATGACCCAGGCAGAAAATGATCATTTTTGTAAGCCACAGGTAGGCATTAATGTGCAAGGTTATAATAAATGTAAACTTAAAGATAAAAATAGGGGTGGGGTGCCTGCTTCATATAAATGTTAAGCATGCTTTTATTATGAAAAAGACATATCTTTTTAATGAAACAAAGTTCTTAGGCTATTTTTTAAAGAGCCTTCATTATAATAAATATGGTTTAGTACCATTTAAAATACTATTTAAAAAGAGAGAGGCTATAGAATCAAACACCACCATTATCTGAAGATTTTAAATCAGAATGCAACACTGCTAACTGAGGATCACTTCCTAGCTAAACTTTCCCCCGCCCTGTACTGCTACATATGATTTAAAATGACTGCATCTATTTCTCTGAGAAAGCAAATACAACTCATGTCATAAGATTCACTTACCTAGTCACTCTGAGGCTAATGGTGGTGCGGTGGGTCACAGACCAATCTGAACTTAAAGGTCAGGTATGTCTTTGGAAAGCCGGTCCTCTTTAGTCACCCAAAGAATGCATTTTCAGGCGTGAATTAAAGGTAATCCATCCTCTCTACCTCCCATTTCAAAACACAGCCAAGAAGCAGTCTCCCACCCTTCCAGAGAGAAACACAGCAGACACACATAAGAAATATGCTTTGGACCTGTCTTCAGAATTCAAAGCAAGCAGCAATGCTGGTCCTGTGGAAATCCGGACCCTGGTAGCAGAATCATGTTGAACTTATTTTTAGCATTTTCTTAGATCCTTCTATGAAATTTCCTGGCTGATTACGCCTCCTCCACACATGGGTTCACTTACACAGTGTTTGCTACGGCAGTAGAGGTGACTTGGCTAGGCTCTGAGGATCACAAACAGAAACAGCGTACTGAAGCTTAGAGCCCACTCCACCGGCAGAACCGTCAGCATCGTCCACAGTGTGTTGACGGAATCCCTCCTCACACACCAGAAGATTCTAACTGTGAACGTGAAGGAAAGGCGCAACTTTAGCTGGGGTTTGCCTTCGCTGGGAGCAGTTTGCAGACTGCTGATTCGGAGCTCATCCTGCCGGCAGCCGGGAATTCCTCAGCACCACGGACAGCGCCAACAACTGGCTCCTGAGCCCAGCTTGGTCGAAACCCCAGCTGCTTCCGCGGACCAGGCTGGAGTGTTGTCTAAGCAGTCACTTGATACAGCGGATGCGAGCATGGGGGGGCGGGAGTGGGGGATTCTTGCGTGTGAGACACTTATTTGCATTTAAATCACAATAAAAAAATTAGAAAGACGTAATTTCGCCTAATGCATTCTTGGATGGGCAGCAGAGATGAAAGTTCCGGGGACCTGAATTAAGCCATCTGCAGTCCTTGGCTATTACTAATAGATAAAGCATACTCATTGTCAAAGAATCTGTGGATGCTTGCTGACTCTATCTGACCCACTGGTTATAGAAAGATTTTCCTTGTGCTATACATAATTCAACTTCGGGTCTTCTGCAGCTCGGGTTTAATTAAAAAAAAAAAAGTAGCCGTGTTTTCCTGCAGTTTGTTCTCTAACGTTAAAAATCAATGTCTTGTAATTCATCTACTCTGTCATTAGGCGTCATTGTAAAGCTGTTTCTTCCAAACCCCTAGCAAAGATGCCCTGTCTCTAAATTCATAACCAAATGAGAAAAAGAAAGAGAGAATGGAGGAAAAAAAACAGACAAATAAATGAGTAAAAAGTTATAATTTTTATTTGTAACAGTTTGGACCATATAATACTCCCACAAAGCTTGTTTTAAAACAAATATGTTATATATTGGTTGTTTTAACCAGGTACTTACTGGCTTGGGAGCAGACTATGTGAAACATTTTTAAACCTTAGAGAGAATGCCCTATGCAGCAGGGTGTGCTGTTGCTGATCAGAGCCACAATCGAACCGTGCCGTCAGAACCTCCAGAATACAGATTTTCTCCATTGTGGGAAAACAGCACAGTGTGCACCTCAGTCTCATGGCCCACCAGTTTGTGAATTTGTCCAGATTTAAGATCCAGCAAATGGACTACCCCGTTGGCACTCGCCTGAGCTAAAACTCGACCTGAAAAACAGAGAAACAGAGATTTAGCTCAAGCAGTCACAGTATGTAAATGATAAAACATTTTATCTTGTTTTGACTGTGATTCAACAGACTCATTTTTATGTTAGACTTTCATTAAATATAAACTAAGTCCTATCTATAAAAAAGTCAAGCCATAATTAAGATACATTTAGAATAAAAGCCTGTAGCTCTATTTGCTTAACATTCAGAGGTCATTATATGCCCCATCATTCTTCTTAAATTTGTGATTGACAGATCATTTTGAGATGAGATTGAGAGTCACTGAAGAGGGCAACTTTATTTTTCAAATGAATATATTAAATATTTTAAAGGAATAGTTACCTAAATGTGAAATAGAACACATGAATTGTATATATACATCTTTAAGTATTTATTCTAGAAAATTTTAAATGTATTTACCTGCTTTAAATATGTTTATTATAATTCTGTTATATCATTGTATGAAACTATAGCAGTAGGGCTATTTATGAGCTCAATACATTTTCTTTGGAATTGAAATAAAAAATTAATATCTCTCCCTCAAAATGACGTTTCATTTAACTTAAATTTCAAAGTTTTTGCAAATCAAAATATATAAGGTAATTCAAATCTAATGTGGGAAATCTTCATAATTTTTATGACATTTTAAATGAGTAACAAAGAATTAAAATAACTTAATTTTAATTAATCATTTTATTGATAAATCCCAGTAGGAAAACTATCTGGGCATTTGGAGGCAAGTAAAGTAAATAGAATATGCTCACCCAAACTTAGGACATAAGTGTTAACCATTGGGTTATTTAATCATACTTCGAAGTCATATTATCATCCCAACAACAGTGTTTAAAACTTAGTAAACTCTTTCAACATGCTAATACCACAACGAGTACTTGATGTGAATGATTCTGTGCAAGTGTTAGAAGGACCTAATGATAGAAGAAACATCAGTAATTCCATCAAACAGAAAGAGGAATTAGGAAGACAAAGAAGTTATTTCTCATGTGTGGAAGAAGCTAAAATTCAGACACAAACACTTCAAAACTACAGCCCAGACTTGTCAGCGTCATGTTTCCACATCCAGATGGCACTGTATCAGTCATGCCTCTAAATCAAAGTTAGGTGACTGATACAGCCTGAAAGGGCATTTGTCCATTTTAGAGTAAGAATTCAACAGTGCTATCACCATGAGAAGCATGGCGAAGTATTTGATCACGTATCATCCTCAAATAGTCATAGCTAACTCTGAAACACAGAGGAATTTTAAGAGGAAAGTTAAGCATGATAAATATGGCCTATTTGCAAATCCTTATAACTACTGGGCTTCTTCGTCTAGAACAAAACCTGACACAGCAAATACCCTTAGGATGGATTAGAGTGTCCAAAGCAGCAGATGTGAATATTTATTATAAACCCTCTTCTCCTGAAGTCTTTGCTGACAGAGGCATTATACATGGACTTCCCTTCCAGCCTCACTCTAGAGGCAACTGCTGTTTGTGACATTCCTGAAACTCAAACAAAAGATTTTTTTCTTATAGTTTTTATACAATAGCCATGAAGGAGTACTGAATTTTAAAAACATTTGGAGCCATTAAAAAAAAAAAACAAAAACAAAGCCCTGTTATACTGTGTATATATTTCTACTCTTGTTTAGAGTATTGTGTTTATGCAGCTCATTTAAAAATGTAATGTATAATTAAGAAATACAGGTTAATAGTAATCTATAATAGTCAAACTTATAGTCATGTTAGGTATATTTTCAAGGTCATAAACAGAAATATTTAGATAGATAAATGGCCTTCAAACACTTCAAAGACCTACAGAGTATGGCATTTAGTATGTTTAGTAACTAAGGCATTTCATGACAGTGAGACATGTCTGCTTCTGACAACACCCATTTACTTCAGAGAAGATGATGAGCATCAAAGAAACTCCATATAGGGTTTGCCTTCTTTATGGCAAAAGCTAGCCATTTGGGCAAAGAAACTGCTCCTGCCTCAATTTCTGAAAGTATATGGTCCAAACTGGACCAGCAGGATGCAAAAGAAAGTACCTGTAAAACTTTGACAAGACAAGGTAAGACAGTCCTTCACAATTCCGTGTTCCCAATGTTACAGAACCCAGGCAGCTAGATGTCCCTGTTATTAGGTAACATTTCACCCTTCTGGTGATGGGTGATATCACTCTGTATGCTGTGAATATGTGTTGCTCTGATTGGTTGATAAATAAAATGCTGATTGGCCAGTAGCCAGGCAGGAAGTATAGGTGGGAAGAGCAGACAAGGAAAATCCTGGGAAGAAGAAGGCTGGGTCTGGAGTCACCAGCCAGACACAGAGGAAGCAAGATATGAAGGAAGAACTGAGAAAAGGTACCAAGTCATGTGGCTAAATAAGAATTATGGGTTAATTTAAGTGAAAGAGCTAGTCAGTAATAAGCTTGAGCTAATGGCCATAGAGTTTGTAAAGTCTGAGTGGCTGCGGGACCAATGGATGAGAGAAATTTGTCCTGACCACGGGCCAGGTGGGACACAGGAAAACTTTTAGCTACATTCTGGGGTCTTTGTTGGAGGTAAAGACTAAATAATTAGACTTAACGGTTTCCTTAGTTAGGATAGAAAGTGAATTAAGTACAAAACTTTAGACTCACCAAGATAGAATATACAATTGATTACTTTCTCTAAATTTGCCAGACATAAATGGACTGGATATTGTAACTGTAATTCTTACATAATAACTGTTTTTTTTTTTTTAGATGTTTTTACTATGTTAAAGTTAAAACCCTCCTTTTTAATTAGACAAAAAAAAGGAGGATGAGGAGGAGGGGAAGGGGGAGGGGGAGGGAAGGGGAAGGGGAGAGAGAGACAGAGAGGGAGAGGGAGAGGGAGGAGGAGGAGAGGAGGAGGAGAAGGAGGAGGAGGAGGAGAAGGAGGAGGAGGAGGAGGAGGAGGAGGAGGAGGAGGAGGAGGAGGAGGAGGAGGAGAAGGAGAAGGAGAAGGAGAAGGAGAAGGAGAAGAAGAAGAAGAAGAAGAAGAAGAAGAAGAAGAAGAAGAAGAAGAAGAAGAAGAAGAAGAAGAAGAAGAAGAAGAAGCCCATAAAGAGAAGGATTTAGCTTGAAACCACTATTTTTGTTTTGGTCAAATCTGTAAAATCAGAGTTAGTAATATTTGGAGAAATTTAACTAATTTTGGAAAGACTTTACAATAAAAAATTGTGATAGTTTTACACAATGTTTTAGCAGAGTTACATGTAAAAACTTCTCATGATCCCTTTCTACTTCACAACATATTAAAAGTAGGTAAATATTTAATTTTTTCCAAGAAACATATACTTTTAGGTATATAAACACAATGACTATGTCCTTTAAATAAAATCCTAACACTAGAACACAGTACTGAAGTTGTTCTCTGGCCTCCATTTGTGTTCCATGGTACACATTTAAACCCCTCACACAAGTCAACAGATCTTAAAAATAACTATATTGTGTATGCTGGAATATGATCATATGCATATCTATATGTATATACATGCATGCATGCAATAGCAATTAATGAAAGAAGAGGCCATGAATTTGAAAAAGAGCATGCAGGGATATCTAGAAGGGTCTGAATGGAAGAAAGGGAAGAGAGAAATGTTGAAATCATAATCTCAAAATTAAAAAGGTAAATAAACATGAAAGGATGAAAACAGATCACCAATTCTATTCATTTCTGCTTTTAATTGTCTTGTGTATTGAATAAATAGGGAATTTAGATCAATTATTTAAATTATGAATGTACATATAGACTATAAAATAGCATATAGACTATAACTGAAAAATGTATGATCTGGTTTATCAATGTTGTTTAAAAATAAAATTATCCAAGGTACATTCACAGAGTTAGGTGTTTTTTTAACCATGTTTTTGAGTTAGCATGCAAAGTAATGGTTTCCATCATGACATTTTCACAGACATGTCATTTTACCTCATTCTTATTATTTGTCCCCAATTCCTTGCCCCATTACCCCCACTTTCCTGGCCTGTCTGGTCCTTTTCCTTTGCCTAAGGACTCTTCTTGCCTTAATGTCCCATGGATTCTACCATCATTTTTTCACACTTCCTTAATATGCTCCTTTTCTGCCCCTCTCATGTCCCCTTTCTACTTTCACAACCTACAGAAACACATTATATATATATATATATATATATATATATATATATATACACATACATATACATATATACATACATAGATATGTATATATCAACATATGTAGTAATTTATAATAAAACATTCTATATTTAAACACCCATTGAATAAAATATGACTTTTTTTCTTTTATTTGTTACATTCAGGAAATTTGGCTGTTCAAATTTTTTTTGTCAAGTAAGAAAACATAATTTGGGGGAATGTTAATTTTTATAATGGCTGTATTTATATAAATAACCCAGTGTATGTCAACAGTGAGGGATTATGAGTACTTTTCATTTGAGTGTCTCCAAAGTCATAATTAACATTTATTTTATCAATGAGGATAATTCCATTTTGCTTTAATGGTGAATGTGCAAGTTCCTAAGTTTCTTCCAATCTCTGCTACTAAATGAGCTAACAGATCTTTACACATTTGTGTATTTCTCGAAATTTTGTTTCAAGAAAATGTATAACATTATTTAAACAACAAAACTTGTTTATATTGTTGTCATGAGCAAATTTTTGGAGAAAAAAGTTCCACTAATACCCTCTTAAATAAAGCAGTCTCAATCGTATTTGTCACAAAAAGTCAAATACATGAACACAGTCATTCGGGAATCATTTTCAACAAAACTCTCTTGAAACAGTGATAGGAGGAGCTAACCTATAGAGTGGCGTCATCACATGATATAATTAGTGCTTAAGACATGCTTATGTGAAGTTATAGCTTGCTATATTATTCCAAAAATATATTTAGGTATAATTTTTTTTTAAAAAAAGCATAGGGTTCCATCTCTTTTTCATTTATGCCTATGGAAAATAAGGAACAGAAAGA